TTTCTCCATTGCCTTGTTTATGCGTTTTAGTTAGCTGAAGAAGGGTTTGCCCGTAAGCTTACTTTATTCAAGTAAATAAAAAAAGAGTTGAGGAGAGTGTTAGGGTATATATTTTGTAAGGTATAGCATTATAATTTTTGCCATATAACTTCTACTATAAAGTTTGCCAGGTGTTATTCAAATAAAGGAACATACAATTGATTCAAGATATGCCTTTATTTTAATATATATATATACTAACAATACAACAACCTATTTTCACCTATATGTAAAAATAAAAATTAAATGAATATATAGCGGCATATTATATATTTTCTTTTGTTGTATTTTTCTCTGTGCCTTCATAAAATATAAATGAAAATGAATAAAAGAACCCCTGATTTGCCTATGTTACGTTCTACTAAATAAATGACGATCCTAAATGACAATCAGAGAAGAAAGAGAACACACAAGGCCTTTATTAAGACACTAGACGAATGGCCCGGGCAACGCCCGGGGTTTACCCGAGTGCGAATATATTTTAAAAACGTTGACTTGGGTGGTCGCTATTAACAGGGTGGTCTGTATAGACAGGTGGATGTATCACACAGCTGATAACAGGGTTGTCTAGAGTGGTCGCTATAGACAGGGTGGTCTGTATAGACAGGTGGATGTATCACACTGCTGATAACAGGGTTGCCTAAGGTGACCGCTATAGACAGGGTGGTCTGTATAGACAGGCAGCTGATAACAGGGTTGTCTAGAGTGGTCGCTATAGTCAGGGTGGTCTGTATAGACAGGTTTATGAGAGAGGCAAACTTACAGGTTTTGACGCCGCAATCCCCAGAGAGAGTGTTTTTTGTTGCATCATGCTGTGACTCACACGATGACCCAAGGTCAACAGGGGTGGAGCAGCAAGCTTAAGCCTATCACCGTCTGGCGGCGCTGCTTGCGAGTTATATCTACAATTCTGCAAATAACTCTAAGGATATTCAAGATATTCAAGAAATTATTTTTCGAAAACCTTTCCGGGGATATACCTAATAATATCCCAGAATTTCATGGCGATTGGATGCATGGTTTTTGAATAACAGGGTTGTCTAGAGGGGGGCAGGGAGGACACGTGTTCCCTGACAGCCAATGAGCGCGCATTCTATCCGTGAGCTTCAGACAAACAGACAGAATAAGGCAAATATATAAGTAGATCAGTATTATACAGATTCTCCTCTTTCATTGACGGCTTGCAGGAAAGTGAATCTAATAGACGATAAATCGAAAAACATAAAACAAAGCTTATATTCTGTTTTATATACGTCAACTCCGCTATTTATTCTACAGAACCATCCAAAAATTCAAATAATTTGATTTTTCTCTCTATTCTGATATAGAGATAGCCATTAAACAACTTATCAAAGGAGTCACTGATCAAATTGACATTCAGGACATATTGACTATGTCCATAGAGGACCATAGTGGACTTATGTCCATAGAGACCAATTCTTCTAGTACCTCAAAGCGAATAAAATACCCACGGAGTTAAAGAAAGCATTAGATCTAAAAAAAAAAAGAAACAAGAAGGACTATAAGAAACTATAGATGTGCAGTGCCTTAGCTCGCCTTTATATAGAATATCACTCGAATCTTACTAAATATAGAATGAAAAATAATTTGAAGATGAATAGCAACAAATAGCACACTGGTTTGAAGTCGGAATTCTCGTTATCAATTAATTCTCATCACATAGTGTCACAACTCTCAGAGAAAACCTTCAACCTCTATGCTTTATTGACTTTAAGAAAACATTTGACACCTTAAAACATAATTCAATGCTGTCAACTTTAATGAGAAATTGATCATGCAAATTTTAAAATAGTCAAATACATGTATACCGATTGTAATATTGAAATATATATACTTAATCAATTCCTCAACATTGCTAAATAGGAGAATTCAACATGGAGAAGTGAAATCACTCAATCTCTTCGCCACGGCTTTGGAAATCTCACTCCAGAAAAAAAAAGATCGAAAAGAAAGAACCATACAATATCGAGACAGTGATAAATTGAACATTCAATTGTTTGCTGGTAACATGTTACTTTTATTACAATATTCTCTTTTCTAAATTTAAATTAAATCTAGGGGAATTGCTAAATATATTATCAGAAATTAGTATTGAAATGAATACTGATAAAACAAGTAAATTAAAAATGAATTCGCTTATCAATTCAAATATTCAAGTTACTACTGTGGCAGACGAATCTGGGAAAAGCAGTAGGAATGGATAACGACTAAGGAACAGAACCGGAAAGAAGTAAAAGAGCATGGTAAGAATTTAACTAAATATAAAACGCTATTACAGACAGAAAGAGTATTAACTCCCACTTGATATAAGATCAAAACTGCACGCAATCATGTTTTATCTATGGAAGTGAGAGAAACTTAGAATACCACCAAAATTAGAAGAGAGTGAAGCCAAATACAACTCAATGGTCAATTGAAGAGGAGTATGTGGTATATATACGTATATATACCACTTGATACATGATTAAAACTGCACAACATTCATGTTTTATCTATGGAAGTGAGACAAACTTAGAATACCACCAAAATTAGAAGAGAGTGAAGCCAAATACAACTCAATGGTCAATTGAAAAAGGAGTATGTGGTATGTATACATATATATACCACTTGATATATGATAAAAACTGCACGACAATTAGGTTTTATCTATGGAAGTGAAACTTGGAATACCACCAAAAAATAAGAGCAAAGCCAAATACAACTCAATGGTGAATTTAAAAAAGAGGAGTATGTGGTGTATATAAGTAACCTTGATAGTAGAAGACCGTCTGAATAAGAAAATACTCTCCTTCAGAGATGTAACTTTTTCAATAAGCCAGACACTATTCGGAATTAAGGATAGCCGTAAAACTCACTTACTGGTATCCAAGATATATGGAGAGAAAATAGGGAAGACATCCGTAAGATGAAAAGATCCAATGATTAAGACATGGCAACAACATAGTGCTGATGGCAGATACACTTCCAAAATCGTGTTTCTCCTGTAGAAGAGATTTCATGCCCGAAAGCGCTAGAGATTTGAATTAAAATAAAATATAAAAAACTTATCCCTGGAAGCCTGATGTTCTCACTTTTAAAAATGTTTTACATAAATTGGACATGTCCATTAACTATTCTAAAACAATGAATATAGAGGAATGTTGGATCCACATGAGAGTGCCATAAAATAAATGTAGTAGTAGTTATAAAGATAGCGCCGTTCCCGTGGCGTGACATGAAGGGGGAAATAAAAAGGTTATTGGTTTCTATATTTATATCTTAGGTGTGGAAGTATTTTAGTAAAATTTTTCTTGATTAATTTCTAACCCAATCTGCTGTAGTCAATATTTATCCCGACACCAACATGCTACCTTTCCTTCTAGAAATTTCCTAAAATAACAAGTGACTTGAAAATATTGTTTTAAACTTTTCTAATATTTGTGAAAAATAGTACAAAAGTGAAATTTTATTTGGATCAGGTGGATGCGCCATCTATCGGAATAAATTTCAACTAATCTTTGATTTTTTATTATTCCAGAATTGTCCAAATACCGTTTCTTGATTAATCAAGAATTCTGTAATAGTTGAAAATCAACGATTAGTTTATATCATTTCGATAGATGGCGCAAGCCATCAACAACTTTTAGTTACACGATTAGGAGCTGCCTTTTATTAATATCAATAATCTTGTTTTAATCGTGTTTTCTAATCTTCAAACTAGAATATAAACTTTTGGAAAATCTCATAGAATGCAAATTGTTATTTTTATCAATATCGAACATTTATCTTGATTTTTAATTTTATATATTTGACCAAAAGCACACACACAATCAAATTAAATATTTATTATCCAAATAAGTCGCATTTCTCTAGTTAATCAAGTAAAGGAAGATATCGATAATTCAATACGTTTTTTAACACGAAATTCCTTTATTGAATTATTCGTGGCAAACTCTCGAGCCAGAGCACTTCAACATATACCACAGAATAGCCACAAAAAATAATTTGGATAATAGATAAATACACTCATGGACGAATACTTGAAAAATGTGTACCTTTTAGCATGTTTATCGGAATTTAGACAATAACTCTGAAAGATATTTGATACACAGTGACCTTTATTGAAGACACACGAAATAACCAAACGTGAACAAAATTGTCTCTGTCTTTTAAAATATATATATATATATGACCGGTGAAATATAAGAATTTCCACTCCCTAAGTTATGTCCATGAGTGTATGTAGTTTAGACAAAAAAAGTTCAAAATATTTCAATAATCTATTATTATACCATTTTATCAATTCACCTCTATTTCACCTCTATTCATTAACTATAATTTCTACAAAAATAATTTAATTCAAATGGACAGGCGAAAATATGAAAATTTGTTTGTTATATCCATATAAACAATAAATATTTTGGAGGATTCTTTAATAAAGAAAAGCCTATATGTCGGTCTTTTATTCCATTCAAGCCATGTAATTTTAAGGCAGTTAACCCTAATAGATGAAAATTGGATTCTGGTTTGAAATTTTTTTCCCGACTTTTTTTTTTTAAGTTAAACCAGCGAACTATTTGGGATTTATTTTATGAATATCCTATCTTTCTTCCTAGGCAGATGTTATGTTTGCATTAATTTATGTGAAGTTAGTTTTAGTTAGAAATTCGGTATTCTAGAATAAGGAAAACTAGTTTTTTTGGGCAAAAGGTTTCTTTATTTATCCTTTCAAGCTTTCGAGAAAAGTTTGCTCTTCAACGGGCAAATCCGTAATCAAAAGAAAAGAGCGTGGATCAGACTATATTCGTCATTACTACAAGGTAATAAGATCAAATCCAAATAAATAAATAGTGTGCGTTGTTACCGTCACCATAGAAAAGACTAAATGAGAAAAAATAGAGGGAGAATATGGTTTTACGGGCTACTTACTGAAGTGTATGATTTTCGAGCCCAGAAAAAAATGCGACGGCCGGGAATTGAACTCAGGTCAACTGCTTGGAAAGCAGCTATGCTAGCCATTATACAATCGTCGCTTAATGAGAAAAAATATCACAGCAACAACAACATTCGCCCAAAATTTGGATGGGTTACACTTGACTCGCCCGCTCAAGTCTATCTGGAGACTTTTCCGGGCTCATCTACAGAAGGTTTAGTGGTGGATCTGCTAAGGAGAGCAGGTCAAGAGGTGAATCGCTTCTCCCGGATATGTACAGGTTATGATACTAGAGTGAGCAGAGAGTTAAATAAAGGTTATGAAAGTATAAAAGTATAATACAAGTTCATACACAAGGGCAGCCAGGGGAATAATGGGAGGGTTTAATCATTATTTTATTTATTTACTTATTCATTTTTTCCCATTTTTTAAATAATTCTTTATGGTTAAAATTATAACAGTGATGCCTCTCTTTCTCTAGTGTTTTAATTATTTTTTTTTATGATTTTTTAAAATTTAATTATATTTTATTTATTTATTTATTTTTCTTTATTGTTATTACTTTATTTTTAAATTTTCCTACGGGCTAAAAATGGAGGGGATAGCAAAGGAGACTATATACAGTTAGGGCATCATTATGCCAAAAGGAAGAAAGTGATATGATGGAAAAAAATATCACAGCATGTTCTTAAATAGTACTATTATCAAATATGTAAACAAGAGTGCAGATAAGAAGAAATAGTTTACACATTTAATAACAGTACTATTTAAGAACATGCTGTGGTTAGTACTATTTAAGAACATTGGTTAGTAGCCCGTAAAACCATATTTTCTCTATTTTTCTCATTTAGTATTTCGTCTGATGTTGGTAATAACGCTGTTACCGAAACTTCATACGCTATTTATTTATTTGGATTTGGTCTTATTACCATGTAGTTATAATATAAATTGTACCTCATCATATATTCGCTATTATAAATTTGTGATAGTGAATGCCATCCATATATGTTATACATGTAGCCTGGATATATCACATAGATATTAAGAAATCAGATGAAATTAAAAACAAGCCTTTCCACTCTTATTTTCTACCACAGCACCTCTAGTAAAATATGATGTTTTATACCTAAATAATGTCTTTTGAACCTAAATCCTTACTTTTATCTTTCCTCATTATCACAGAATTGTGGAGTAAGACAAATTGCTAAAAATCACAAAACATCGTAACTCTTTTTATTTACTTGATAAAAGGAAGCTTTCGGGCAAGTCCTTCTTCAGCTAACTAACTTACGTTTTAGTTATATGAATAAAATTTTCTCCCGAAGGTTTCCTTTTTATTACGTTAATAAAAGAGTTGCGCGGCGTCTTATGATTTTTGTAATTTTATTTCTCTATTCATTCCTCAAAATCAATTTTAATCTCATAGTTTGTAATATATAAGGATATTTGTGTTCGAAGTGATATTTCGCAGTAAAGTTCATTTAGGAGCTGTTCCTAAGAGTTTCAGAGTGTATGTGGAATTACAATTATTCGAATAGCCCCATCTTACTCTCCTGCTGCCCATATCTGCATCACGTGATCAGAACCTCATCACCAAATGTAGCCTCACGATCGGAGTCAATATAAAAAATAATAATTTTGAAGATCATTTGTTAGTTGGAAGTTTGTTTTGAAAATATATGTCTACATCAACCAATTTTTTAATTAGTTCCGACGTTTCAGTGACTTGTTGTCTCTCTCCTCATTCAAGAGCGAGCCACGTCGAAACTAAATAAAAAACTGGTTGATGTAGCCAAGGATAAATTTTTAAAACACAAAATTTAATTACAAATTATCGGTAGTTTATTTTAAAAATGGAGATTTCTCTTAATTTTATTATTTTCAATATATGGCCTGCAATTTATATTCAGTGTTTTCAACTAATTTGTTCAAATTTTCCTCTCAGATGGGTATTGTAACATATAAATCACAGATTTATGTGTTTGACTGCAATAAATCGAAATAAACATAAAAAGTACCGGACTACCTGTGCTACCACTTGTTTGAAAATTTATATTCAAATTTTACACTACTAAAATATAATAATTAATTAAATACTGCACTTTTTAATACACTTATATGTATGCAACACATAAGTTTGGGAGGATGATATTCATGTTCTAAAAAAGAGGGCACATCTCTCTTTAATTATATATTATTAGTAAAGTTTTTTTTTTAGGGTGATTTAAGAAGAGTTTTTTTACATACCGTATATATGTATCTTTTAGCATGTTTATCGGAATTCAGACAATAACTCTGAAATATATTTGGTACACAGTGACCTTTATTGAAGACCCACGAGATAACCAAATGTGAACAAAATCGCCTCTGGTTCCATCGAAAAAAAAAATAGACGATATCAAAGACTTTCCACTTCCTTAAGTTTGTCCATAAGTCTATGTGTTTAGTAAATAAATGTTTTTTCTGCGATACGGAACACAAACATTCCTAGAATACACAGCGAAGGCTGAAAATATAGATAAATGGTTTACATATTAACATATGGTCCTACTGGGTCCTCACACAGTTTGAGAATACATAGGTGTCCGGGATGATGGAATTCTAAATTTTATTGATGGTAAAAGTATATTTAAGTAAACATAATTATATGTAATATGCGCAAACATTTTATTGGATTATGGTATATGTTCCAATGAAAGATACAGATATTTAGATTATTTCGTTTTGTCTATTTTAAAATGAAGAGAGAAGATAACTTTTCTGTCTTCGAAATCCTTTCTTTGGAATATGTTTCCAAACATTATCAGAATCGTTCCAAGATCAACACCTTGTTTGATGGAATTCTTATGAATTTTATGCAAGAAGCCTTTCTGCATTGACGAGCCTAGTCCACAGGCTTAATTCTGGTGTGGGCAGATCTCTTTTACGAGTTTAAAACTTTTCGTTATTTTTTTTATTGCTAGTTGTGAATAAGAAACGCTATATCCGATATGGAAATTGTATCTATTTATAATAGCTAATACTGTATTAGAGTATATATCTGAATTATTAGTAGAGACTGATATATTATTACCATCATCACTTTTTTATAAAAGTGGGAAAAATACACACGTTTATATATAGTATAAGCAGAAAGTTGAATCCAAAAAATAGGTATTTACAAAATATTATATGCTATGATAGAGGTTGAAAGCAGGAAGTTATTAAAATGATTAGTGCCGTATAGAGAGAAAGTAAAAAATCAAGAATAACTACAATGAGGTATGCTATAGAGTATAAATTATTTATTTTAGATTTTAAATCAAGACGTACAATATCGAAGTTCCTCAGATTGTTTGAAGTAGTCTTTATGTGAGAAAAAATGGTTGCATCTTTTTGTAATCTCTGACCATATATAAAGAGAAAGAGGTATTTTTATTCAATTCCTTCAGTTTTAAAAATACAATTTCACTTATCAATATCATACGCTTTAATACGATTATATTTATTAATTAATACATAAACGATATAATAATAACAACTTTCAGGATTTGATTTATTTTAAACATATAACTAATTGCACAAATTGTGGACAAATACCATCTATATCTAGGAAGTATGTGCTTAAAAAAAAAAAAAAAAACGTGAGTATATATTTACTCAATGAAAAAAAAAATCAATAAAAAACATTTCAATTCGTTGAAGAGGAAAGGAGTGAAAGGGAAAGTTAATGGGTAAATTTCCATTATGATGCTTTAAACGTTATTCCTTTTCTATCTAGATGACTCTTTCTTAAATTGGAGTGTTGATGAGAAGGTAAATATTTGACTCGGCTTTTCTCCGCAGCCGACGACAAGCGCCCCCCCCCCCCCCCCCCCCCCCCCTCCCCCCTCGCCGTGAAAGTGACGGATAGAGATCTGGGTCAGAGAGCTGGCAGTTCGTTTGGCTCAGTGGTCGCTGCACCATGCGTCGTCTGATCCTTTCCCTGATCCTTCTGGAGATACTTCTTGGTGAGTAACTCTCGTTTGCTTTTCTTTTAGTCATTTTAATCACATGTAAAGATTTACCATTAGGACCTTTTTTGTCTTCGCTTGACTTAATAAAAAAAAATAATTTATCATAAACCCTCAGCTGTAGTATAAATTTTTTCCCGAAATTATAATATGAGACTTTCTCTTAATTCCACGCTTGAGTTTGTTTTCTTTTTTATAATACACTTACAAAAGATAGGAACTTTATATATTTAGTTATTATACAAAATGCTAATTTTTTTCGGGATTTACAAAAATGTTGTTTTGCGGCAAATATAAGCATTATAATATAGTATTTTGTATTTTATACACATATCATGTTTTATTTCTATAATTTATTTTATTTAAAGTGTGTGTCATAAATAAATAAAATATTTCAAGTTTTCTAGCACAAAAATCCCCCCCAAGATATCTTTTAAAAAATGATTTTAAAAAAATATATGCATAAAAAATGTAATTGGAGAAATATATTTGTGTTTTGAAATATATTATGTTTGTTATATTTTGTAAACATATTTGTTTGACCATAATAGAATTCAAAAGAATATAAATTTTCATCATCAATAAAATAATCGTTTGATTAATTGTTTATTTGATGATTCAAATAAAAAAATACATATATATATTTTCAGCCATTTTTTAAAATAACCCTAGAAAAAAACCTAAATATTGAAAAATATATGATTTTTAAAACACGGGCAAAATTTCGCGCTTAAAATTAAGTAAAATGATATTTGGGCGGGAATTTTTGCATTTTGTGAAATAGGTTATCCCCATAAATTGGCTTACATACATGTTTTAAGAATATATATTTATTTTGCATAAATTAGCAAAAAAAATGATTTCGTGTTTAAAACATCTCAAAATATATGATGACATAATAACTGGAAGGAGTTTTTTTTTTACTATTTTAAAATTATACATATAGAGAGAGATAGGGAGTTTCTAAAAATTATTTCTTAATAAAATTTTAAAATTTCGGTTTTGTTTTGGGTATCAGCAGAGTGCTTATATTGTACAACGTTTATGGACCTTTCTTAGAGGTATAAACATTCTTCTTTTTCAAAATTCACAAATATATATATATTAT